TCTAGACATTAACCATGACCATATTTGCCAGAATATAAGCATTCAAACTAGTTAAGCGTTCACCATACTCTTGTCATTATTCAGAATAAATTTTCTAACAATGTACACACATCACTGAAAATTTAAGGTATTTTAAGATATTTTACAAATTAGGAAGACTTAGTACTGAGTAAAATGATTGGTAATGTTTTGTTTTGACTCCTCAAGTTAGTTTCATCTTTAAATACCCAAGATTTTTTATAATAGCTTTAAACGTTGAAATATTGATTTCTATGAATTAGGGACACATTTCTTTTAAGAGTTAAGGCGCATACGCGGAGATGCTACCTGGCGGTCCTCTTGACAACGGACAGGTCTTTACGAATACCTTAACCTTAAAAAAATAATGTCGTCGCCAATGATCTAGTAGTTAACGCGACCTTTGAAATTTTTAAAATGTTTTTAAAGATTTTATTTATAATCTCACTTTGTTAGTATGATACATTCTGAAACCTAAGTGGCATTTCAAATAAAATCCAACATTTTTTGTAATACATACTGCAAGATTTGTGGTATACTTTTCCTTTGCCTTGTGTTTTGGAACAAATTAGTACCCTTCTTTGCAGTTATGAAATTCCATCTTGATCGTACACCTCTGAGGGAACAGAAGTCTCGAAGACCCAAGCAATTTGATGGTTGTGACGTGAATAGATGCAGACACGCGTTTCAGGACTCGCTTTAACCATGAACTTACGCATAAAGTTTGCGAGAATGCCGCTGCCTGCAAATTACAAAGCTCTAAAGTACCTGTACGTTTCGGAGGGTCGTTTTCCTAATTGTGCAGCACACAATCTCGTAATGTTCTTAGTATCACTCTCAGAATTCTATGTGATCTCAAAGCCGACAGTTTTGGAATGCTTATTCCTAAATGTTTATTCATTTTGAGAAGTGGGATTCGAATCGTAAAGTTAAGCAATTGCTTTGTTGTAATGCGATATTTAAACAGAAATATCGCAATTGTCTCTGCTGTTGCAATACTTCATTTTCATCAAACCAAACAGTAACATGCTAATAACTTGTGATTTAATTCGAATTCAGAAAAGTGTTTGAATCAGGTGTCACCAACATGTTTTACTGTCTTGAACTGCTGAACTACTGTTTTTACTGTTTTACTGGTTTTTTGGTGTGCTTTGAAAATAACTACATATGTTGAAAATATACTATGAATAATCTCAATAAAATACGTTTTAAACATACTGTTGTCTGGTTATTCAGTGTAAAAATATTAAAAGTTATTTATTAAGAATTAAAGTTAATAATAAAAATTACAAAAAATGGGTACGTGCAGCTCTTCTTGTCAATGTTCTTTAAGACAACGGTCTCTACCCACTACAAAATACTGTGTACGAGAAACTAATCCAAACGCTTCCAGAAGAGTTGTTCTCTAGAGTGCATTCTTTCAGTGTATTTATTATCAAGTGCTTTATCGAAGAAGGCATTTGCAAGCTACTGTTCTAAAACACACCGTTCTTGTTACATATTTAAAGATTTACATTAGAATATAATTAGATTGTTAGAATTATCCCTGTGTCTATGAGTAATATCGTGAATACTTTTGTTTTCATAAATTTTCAGTTTCTGACATTGGTCTCGCAAATGAGTCATAATAATTGATACTCATTCCCACGTTCAAAAATTCCCAAAAGAGAATAGCTTTCCTTCATATCGATACTACACTAGCACAGAAAATACAGTATAAAGCTCTGTAAAATACATCTAATTAACTCTTCAACGTGCGTGGCTCAGATTTGGTGACTTTCCACTTCATGGGCCTCAGAGGCTCCGTCTGAATAAAACACTAATTTGGGTCCGAGATGAAGTAATGAACGTAATGGTATTTATTATTAAATAAACTGGTTTTTAAACCATTAACGCATAATAAGGCGTTTTTCACAACTGTAGCACCGAATGTTGAGTTTTAATGTTCTGGTAAACGTTTGTTTTCGCACATAACCACTGTGATTTTGTTTTTTGTCTTTTTCGAAGAGACATCTGGAAAGAGACTAACAACCTGAATACAAAGGATTTAAAACAGTTTTACCACGATATTAACATTTGTAAATATTCCCCTTACCTACCTCTTTATTTTCTTTAGAACCATCTATAAGACTTACAAACATGTGTTCCTGTGAATCCGGAAGACATGGAGACAATTTTGGGCTCTTTTCAAATTAATAGGGTTTCTCACTCATGTTTTCATACAAGTACGAAAGTATTCCTCTGCCACTTGCATAATACCCCTTTCCCACTGACATTATTCTTGAATCAATTTTGTGAAGATTTCGTATGCATTCAAAGCACTAACGTCAATCTTGTCGGAAAATAACCTCGTTGGTCAATGTCGAGTACGCCTTCATTATGTGTAATTGTCAACTTTTTTATCCTAATCTTTATTTTGTAATAAACGTAAAAGGTTTTCGATTAAAGTTGTTTAATTATTTTGTTATAAATGTAAGAGTTGTTCGAGTCTATAAATGTTGTTCGATTGCAATATTTTCACATTTTTATTATTATGAAGAGTTGGTTCCGTCTAACATTGTAAATTTTTCACAAGTTTTCTCGCGTACTATCTATATTAAAATACTAATCTAATACTATTTTATAACTATTTTCTTAGGGAGAGAGCATCTACTGAACACTTTAGAAAGAATCATCCAAATTAGCAAATTTTATGTAAAAATCTTGTTTTGGAAATTTATTTTTTATTATGGTGGTGCTTCTTGGAAATTGCCTACACTGTATTGGGACATGTGGAATTGATGGCATATTATTATACACATTGTGGGATAACTTAGTGATATGGTAATCGATTGCAGTTACAGAAAGATTTATTGACTTATAATTATTTGAAACCCGACGCAAGAATGTATTTCTTTGAGTGGAGCATATACTAATTAAATTATAGTATACATCACCGCACTAGCACATACCACTATCATTGTATCCCACCCTTTGCCCTTCAATAGATTCACAACACTATTTTGCACCATATGAAAGTAAAACTTTGAAATATTCTTTATTTTCATACATGTAAACAAGTGAGTAAATATGAGAAGGTGTCTTTAAGTACAGGTAACTCTCCCAGATTATCTTTTCTAATCAGTAAGAAAATACAAAAAAATGACAGCCAAAAAAAATTACAATGCCGTTCAAGCAAGCTTCACATTGGATTCCATAATCATTGTTTAGCTTTAGTGTGGGATTTGTCACTATACGGTCTTCGCAGTCAATATTGCACATCGTACCCCTTCCCTTGTACTGCCCGCCCTTCAATCTCTATTCTCTATTCCCTATCATCCCTGTCATTTCATAATTCTTTGTCCTCTGCTCTCTCCCCACGGGAATATGTATTTTTTATTACTGAAATTACAAAATGTGCTGGGCGAAAATTTGCTAATCGTCCAATAATTATTCATCACAAATTTCAGAGCTTTGACATTAATTTTCGTTCGGAAGCGGCTTTAGAGGCTTCATAATGCATACCAATCTCTCATGTGAAATTCTAATTGAGTCTTGTTCCAGGAAGCGTTTCCAAAGCTTTATGGCAGATTGGGGGTTCATTTTTCATTTTTATTATTAACCGAATATTTCGGTTGCAGCTGGCCTTTCTTGCTTCGATACAACAATGTTCTCCAGGAATCTCGTTGCATATCATGTTCGTGAGATAATGTCTACTTCCGGCCAAAATAATTAAATAGTAGTTTTTTTAATTATTTAGACATTTTCTAACTTGTCTTACCATTCGCACCGATATTTTGATATGTTTTTTTCTTTTAGTTAATCTTGCATCATTTACATAACTTCAGCGTTCATATTGGAATTGTTATTTTTCTCCTAGAACAATAATTTGGAAAATGTTTGTCTTTCATTCTTTTGCATTAAAAGATTGTTTCCAGTTTTCCGTTTTTATCACTCACTCTTTCGTTGTAAGACACAAAGTTTATTTGAGGCAGAATGTTCAGTATATTACCTCATTACTGTTTGCTCTTCATCTTTGCACTAACATTGAAAGGGTTGTAAACACTTGATCTTCAGTAACTGTTGGGATATCATAATTTCTCTCACTGAACAAAGATATTTAAAATTTGTTTGCCGACTGAATGCGTTATGTCCCTTTCATTTGTTTCCCTGTCAACATTATTTCCTTTGAAATTTCATTATTTTCCTGATTCTGAGTCATATTGGTTTACAAATTTTTTCTTTAAGATTATTGACATTCTGTTTAGATATTGAGTTTTCTTTATCTAATGTATTCCTACATTATTTCGAACCCGTTTATTTTCCCTTTTCAGATAATTTAGATATAAGGCATAAATACAATAATGTAAAAATATATTCTATGACCACTTACATCAAAACAAAATTACCTTATACCCACAAATTCAAACATTCACAAAAATTCAATCTCTTTTGTAACTAAAACACATCTCTTTAGAATATCAACACGTTATGTGCAATGTTTTCTGTTTAGTTGTCAGACATGTACTATATTGCAAACAGCGTGGAGTGAACCGCGTGTTCACATATTCCCTCTTTTGTACCTTTAATACGTATTTCACAACTTATACAATCATACATCCGACATTATTCCTGCATAGCTGCAGCATGTACTGAATTCGCAGTGTGCTGAACTAGATTAATTTTTAAAACTTTGCGTTGTAGAGATATTTCCCACTTGTTCCCATTACCACACGCGTATTCTCACCTGCTGACCTTTGCTGTTGCCTCCCTGCCAAGCATGGGCGTGCGTGCGCGGTGGGCGTGCGCGCTGTGCGTGTGTGCTAAACGAGCGTGCGCGCTGAGCTTTTGTGCTGAGCGTGTGTGCTAAGCGAGCGTGCGCGCTGAGCGTGTGTGCTCAGCGAGCGTGCGCGCTGGGCATGTGTGCTGAGCGTGTGTGCTGAGCGAGCGTGCGCGTTGAGCGTGTGTGCTAAGGGAGCTGCGCGCTGGGCGTGTGTGCGCAGACTGCCACGAGGCGGACAAGCGAGCGTCGGGCCGCGCGGCCGGGCGCTTCGGCGACGAGGCGTGCGACGCACCGTGGGCCCTGGTGGAGTCCGCCACGCGCGCCATGAAGGCCAAGCACGGTGACGTGGAGTTCGTGCTGTGGACGGGGTAAGTACACGACCTACGACACTTTGCTTGTACTACCAGAAGGATTTTCTCCACAGGGTGGGCCCCTAGGCGGAAGCCTTTATCCGCAACCCCTGCGGTTGTACAAGTGCACCTTTCAGCTGG